ACTATGATCAGACAATGATATAGCAGTGTTAATCAGAAATCTACAATTCTTTTAAATAATCTATCAAAAAAGATGTCATTTTTGGATACCATTTGATGCTAACAACAGTTCTGACCAGAACATAAAACTAATTGAAACTTGCATGTAGAAAACAGATCAATCCATTAAATAATAACACGATTGTGTACAAACCATTACTGGTAATTATCATTCAGAAGACAGCAATAATGTCACAATCTTACCCTTGGAACATTTTAATACCAGGAACATGCACCCATTCTTCTCAACACCAAATGATTACTTAGGCGTAATTTATGCAGAGAAAGCTTTGACGAAATGAGCCATAATGTCAAGGAAGACAAGCTAGAACATTCCTCAGGGCATTAAGGTGCCGATTAAAATGTGCCAAATCGATTGTTCTAATGCTTGTCCTGATCAAACTTCGTTGAGGAAACAAGATGCATCACGGATACATCAGCAAACTCTTTCTCGCAACCTTTAGTTGGATAATGATTACCAGAGGATATTAAATTATGTAGGTTTGTAAAAGATAACGGAAATTTACTTTAGCTTAGCTTTAAGTGAAAAAAAATACTTTTTTTTACCTTTTATGCTTTTCGCAATTCTAGGTTTGAAGATTAATTATTGGGGGTTTGTAATTTTAAAAAAACTGAATGACTGGAATTGCAAATTAAATTCAAAACACTGCAGATCAGTAAATTAGTTAAGAGGTGTAAAAAGCAAATGTACAAATGTCCAAAATATTATTCTCGGTTTCATTTTAAATTTTAATAAAAAAAGAAATAGATTGCATAACTCATCATTTTAATGACTGTTGGATTGCAGAAACCCTTCTCACCATCTTTAGTAAGTGTTTCGCAAACAAAATTCAATACAAATTATTACAGGGTTGGCTAGTAATTCGACTGTGTATTCATTTGAAGTGTCAGCGGAAATCTAAGGGGAACGATAGAATTGATCAATATTCATGGAGAAAAAAAATTCCGTCAATTTTCCGTTCTCATGAAATATCCTATTTATTAAATTTCGTGTTTCAATTTGCATTGTACTAGGATTAGCAATTTTGCACAATTTTTTTGATGTGAAAAAGTTTTATCCGAGTGCAAAAAGATATCAAGTTGTTATAGCAAGTGTATTAAATCATTAATAAATGAGTTTTTTACACCAAATAACTTTTCATAATGAACAAGACAAAGAAAATAATGAAGAATGTGATAATTTTATTAACCCTAAACATGAAGAATAAATATCAATAAAGCTTAAATCCAATATTCGAAGCAAATTTATATTAGACGAAATGCACGGTGACGGAAATAGCTTTTGATCTAATGACTATATTTTCACTTACTAATATGCAATTTTACGGGTTTGAGTGTCTAACTTTAAATATGCTAATTAATTTGCGAGAATGGTTAATAAGACACAAAATTTTCATTCTATCAATAAAATTTTAATTAACATCAAGGGACTTTTTTTCCTTATTACCCAACTATTCGCACCATATTTTGTTTAACAGACCAAGATTGCAGAAGAAATGCATGCTTGTTCAGAAAAAGTACGTTATTAAATAAATTCCTTTGTATTTGCTCAATGTTCATGTTAAATAACATACGAAGATAACGTACATTAAAATTAACTTACGAGAAAATAAAAAATAACAGCAACATTACATTACAGTTTAAACGCAAATGCTGCAAATAAAAAACATTCAGTAAAAAATTTAAAATTAAACCAGCAATCAAACTTTTATAGAGGTATCTATTCTGGTCTATTTTAGAGGTTTCTTTTTCTTCTCTGAAAAATTTTTTCCCGCTTATTTTTAATTTTTTATATCTCAAACACTCGTGCAACTTTTAGATTAGCTCTGGATACTATGATTTCTACTTCTTTCTTCTATCGATATACGAGGAACCATTCCTAACTTAATTAAATGGAAATCAAAGAAATAGATCAACTGATCATCAACAAAAGCAACAACTATAGTATATAGTTATCGTTGTGATTAGTAAAAACTTTATTGAATCTTGAAATGGTTAAGCTGTTGCCATATTTCAAAGCAATAACGATATCCATCCTGATTGGCAGTTTGAAGTGATATTTGCTCTGAACACATCTCCCCCCCCCTCTGAAATCTTTTTATGACCAAATATTAAAGTGGATCAAGCTTTTAATATTTTTTGACATTTATAAAATTTCCATTCCTTCTTGCAAAAAAAAAATATCACATCAAACAGACAATTTTTTTTTACTTCTTAACTTCAAAAAGGAAGCCAGTGATCATTTGCAATATTTTCTTCCCCATATAAATTGGATTTCTTTTTTAAAATTTAAATTATATTTAGCAACAGCAAAAGAAAGATTTGTTTATATTCTTAAAAAACATTATTCATAAAAAAATTTTTGGTTAGTATATAACTCCTCACAAATGGACTAAAAATAATCACTTTAAACGAGAGAATTCAATTCCTTTGCTAAAAAGCAAACTCTCGCAAAATTTTTTATTTGTTTTTCTTAATTATCTAGAAATGGGACTAAATTTACTATCCACAATTTTTGTAAATTTTTAATATTTTTAAAAGGTCATAAATGAACAACGCGAGGTCTCAGTGGTTAACTCACTGAGCTGTCATTATAAAGGGATTTGGTTCGATTCCCGTTGGCGACTTCAATTCAACATCACATCATCAAGCACCAGCTTATCAAAAAAGTAAAAGGGATCTCAGCATAATGCTGAACACTTTGTCAACATCATGCCGTTGGTTACAAAATTGTAGAAAACCCTGGCTCACAAGGGACTTTTATGGGTATGCTTTTTGAATTAACGCCATTCCTTGGCGTCAAAAACTTGGTGGTTTTAAAAATTAAAGAGAAAGTAAAGAAAAAGCAAAAGAGAGTAAAGAAAGTAAAGAAGAGAGTAAAGAAAAAGCAAAATGGCTATTTTTACAAAGTAAAAAAGTGAGCTTTTTTTATTGACAACGATTTATCTAATGCGAGAAAATGATATATCATACTAGCTAAAAGTTTTCAATCTTCCGGAAATCCTACTACACATTTAAGAAAAGTATTTTAACTTCAACTCGCGTTAAATCAAATGTCAAACTAAAAACATTCTTAAGCATATTTGAAAACAAAGATATCGCCAAGCTTCCGAAATACGCATCCCATTGTGAGATTAATTTCATCGTAAATCCGGCCGCCAAAGCAGCAGTCAAGGCCTTTATCAGATGATAGTTGACAGGCTTTGTTGCATTGAAGGTTCCAAAAACACAAGTCTTTTAGGGGGTGTTATTAATAAGATGATCGTGCCTTGTTGGCTTTTTGGCGCCCTCCGGGGATATTTAGCCTGTCAGCTATCTCATTTGTTACGACGCTCAAAGTAGCACCTTGATTCATGCTCAACGTATTAAAAGGCGGGATAAATCATGCTGACTGATGGAGCTCTCTATTTTTGATCTCTCTAGAAAAGTAATAACACGATTTAGAATATTATTGGATTTGGAAGATTAAAATTACAAATTCTACGGGTGAAAGGGGAAGAATGTAAATTATTCGGCGATTGTAATTTCGATAATTTGCCTCACCAAAGAAATTATTTGATTTGACCGATCGATTTGCTGTTTGACTGATGTGTTTTTATCCGTTTCATTAAAAGACTTTTTTTTTTCATTTTTATTCCTTTATACGAGAGGGAAATATTTAAAATACGTTCTAATAATCACGGAGAAATTTGCCTATTGTGTACTTTGAGCAGTCGATGGAGTGTAAGAATAATAATTTGACTTATTCTGCGGATTTTACAAACGTGATTCAATAATTTCCTGTAGGAAAATTGCTATCTTTGCCATTAGAAATCTTCTTTTATGCTCGATGTAGACAAACATCGAAGCACCAGCTGCAGTTATCTTCTGCGTTAGCACCATGTTTAAATTTGATAGATGGAAATATAGTGGAGTTTCAATTTGCTACCATCGCAAGTTATAATTTGCAAGGCGTTATTCAAATACTACTTTTGCCATAAAATAGCTTTTGTTATGGGTAACATGAGAGGTTTCACTTTTTCTGAAATATTTTTTAACATAATAACATTTCAAGGTTGACACTATTTGAAAGCTTAAAAGTCTGTCATACGTTCGGACTATTATAGTTTTTACTTAAAATTCAAACTACCCTTTTTAAGAGTATAAAAATGTTATCAAACATCCCTACTTAATAATGGCTTAGCAAACTGGAAGAGAGATTTGACCGATAGAAATATTTAAACCTATACTGCAATAGTAAAATATCTAAAATTTTGCAAGCCATAATTATGTCTCAAGAAACATCACAAAAGCATTTCCGGATGAAAAATAACAACAGAAATCCTTACAGAATATGAACAGAAATCCTTAGATAAATTTAGTTTGTATCCGCAAGCTGAACTATTTAAAAACAATTCCATTATCCGTTTTTTTTTATTATTTTTTTATAATTTGCGAAAATATTTCGTTATTCTTCCTTGCTTCGCTTTTCTCAATATACTTTTTAACAGCGATAACTATCAAGAAATTTTGAATTGAAACAACGGATCAAACCTCCAGCAATTTTGAAAAAATAATTAACTCATTAAAATAAAAAGTTAAAGTAAACAATAATGCACTAGCTTTTAGCATGTTATTCTCTTTTTCCAAATATGTTATAAATAAGAGAGCCAATAAGAAAAGATTTAGTAACAACAATTAAAAAAAAATTTCTAGATGAAAATGATATTAAATGTGATTTCTCCTTGATTTCATTTACAAATGACTAATAGGCAGGAAAAGAACAGACGCTTTTACTTAATAAAATGCGAAGACTAACGAGAGCTCATCAGATATATATATGTTTAAATACGAAAAATGTAGGGTTTCTCTTTATCCAAATACTGCTTTTGCAATGGAAGCATATCGAGATAAATCCAAAACCAGAGAGGTAAAATGTTAAATAAAGAGTCGGGTACTTACTACGCCCTTATTAATTAGACTTTGCTTTGCCCGACTAAGGGTGACGTAAGTAAAGAGTCCGGCTCCTTTTTGCCTCTCCTGGCTCGTCCTCAGGATGTTGAGGAGACAGCTCACCCCTTCATGCACATCTGACACAAATTCTTCCAGAAAACTGAAATGAAAACAATACTTATAACTAAGGCAAAGGGTGCTCTTCTTGTTTTTCAGTGGAGCCATCTATGGCCAAGAATACGACTTCAGCCACGCATACGTCACAACCCTTTTATAGGGCGGACCCATTCACACATCCATTCATTCATCAACAGATCATAATTTTGACCTGAATCAGAGAACGATCGAACCAGTACCCCCAGAAGTTTGATTTGTTATGGGAACATGGAGGACTTTCGCTACTCGACAGATTTAACTTGCATCAGTCATTTTACTACACGGGGAGTCTTCGGCCGGCGGGGTTCGAACCCACAAACTCTCGGACATGGGCCCAGCGCCCTACCGACCAGGCTATCCTGGCCAGCTTTATCTTACATCCATGATGCAATATTTCCGAACATAAAGTTCTTTAAAAACTTTGTTATTTAAGTTAAATTTGTGTAGAATGATACTAAAAATAGATTTAGTAGGTCCATATAATGTTAAAGCCTAAAATCAAGTAACAGAAGAAAAAAAACTTTTTTACTTTATGTTCTTTGTGGTATTATCTGAATTTAGCATAATTTTTATTAGTGACGAGTTTAGAGATGTTTAAAAAAAAGTCTCAGCAATCTTACCTTCTTTTTTTCTTTTTTTTTTTGCTTTTGAAACAAAACTAAGATGAAAAATAATTTGCAGGTACTGTAATAATCTGTAGCACCTGCTGCCGTGCTGGAGAATTTCTGCTACCGAGCCTATTTGTAGATAGAGTTTTTCATCGTTGCGACCAGGATTTGAGTCCTAGCTGTAAATGGTTAGTTCGTGTAATGCTCCGGGTTTGCACCAACTTCAATACAAACAGAGCCTAATGCTTGACCTACGTTTTTCTTTACCTTCTAAGTTACCTTCTAAGTTACTTTCAAAATTACAAGACTTCGGAATTAAGCATTATGAGTCGCACATTTCCTAAATGGATCGCTCACTCAACACTGGTCATAAATAAATTAAATATGTGTTGACTATGTGTTCTGTGGCTAATAATAATATGTCGAATAATATTAATTGGAAAAAATTATATTTCCTACAAGCCAAATAGATATCTTTGTCTTAAACTCAAAAAGAAGTTGCAAAAATGTTACTATGAAACTAAAAAAATGTGTTGCAGGTTTGCTTTTTACTGTACTTAATACCATCGTAAATTTACTCTACTAAATATTATATAGCTGAATAACTTTAGTTCATATCCTTGAACAAAATGTTAAATTCGATATTTCGAAATTTCTTTTTTCTATAAAATAAGTGAAAAAGCATATTTCAAGCATATAAGCTTTGCGACAAATAAATCAATTATTGCTTCGATTAGAAAATGAAATTTGATCTCATTAATTGTTCTAAATTCACATTGATCCCAAAAAGCAACCTCAGCTCTGGATTGTTAAATGCATGTCTTTCAGAAAGCATAGTAATATAAACATAAACGAACATCAATCACACGCTCCTCTCACTTTTCAAACAATGGGAACAAGAATTTCGGATCCTCGCCGAATTGCCGCTAGCCAAATCTAAACGACTTTCCAAGACAATTACTTTCGATATCCATTAATCCCTTCGACAGTGTTAAGCCTAAATTTCTTGAAGATAAAATTTCATAAAAGAGTGAACCTTACCTAAGATACGAAGACTGAATGTCCTCCTCTAGTCTCCTGAGTAGGAAGGACAACCTAGGGATACCAACGGATAGTGTCTCGTCCCCTGGGTGACCGACACCCGGGTCATTTTTGCGTCTTTCTGCAACAAGATGGCGCCGTAGATAAAAGGCATAATCAGCAGCACTCATAAAACGAGGCCGTAGAATACCCTGAGGAAAAAAACATTTTGTTAAATATTTCTTTCAAAAAGATAATATTTCAAATAAACAATAAAAATTTAAATCGGTAGATGACAAACGATTAGATTTTGTTAAATATTTAGAAAATTGTTACGGGTTGTAAAACGTTATTATATTTATTATCATATTATTATTGCTTTATATTATATTTATCAATGTTATTATATTTTATCTATATTTGTTATTGTTATTATATTTATTATAAAACACACAACACAGAAAAACATTATGCTGAAGGAAATAGCAACTTAATATATCTTTAAGGAATGTATTGTTGTAAATATTTTTAAAAACTTTTGAAAAATATATTCAAAATATCGAAGTCATCTAAAAGCGCATTAAAAAATCATTAAACTTGCATAAAGAAATTTTATTGATGTAATATAATTTAAATTTTCCAAGCAAATACACAATTCTAATTTGTGACCCACGGCTCGAAATTGAAACTTGTTTTTTTATATTTGTACAAATACTCACGTTATTAAAAAATTGGGGGGGGGGGGAATAAAGAAAACAGATCAGATATATTAAAACTCTTTGCACTATAACCTGACACTATAACTTATTGTTTACACCTATAACATTATTACTCATTATACTTATTATTACCTATTATTTCATTATACTTATTAATACTTATTATTTACGTAATATGTTGAAAAACAAAGATAGCTTGCTTCAAAGAATTTGAAATATTAATTTTTTATTAGTTTTTCATTCATGTTAAATGCCTTTCCTTATTACATTTTCAGTATTCGCAAGTATTCGCATTTTTATATAATTTAAATATGTTAACAATTGGTTGATATTGTACAGATTCACGAAACATTTAAAATTATCGGATTATATTTCGTAAAAATAAAATATTAAATATTTATATTTACAAATAAACAAACGAATTAATTTGTCTGCAAATTAAAATTTGCTAAATTATTAGTTTTAATTTACAAAAAATTGCGAAGCTTTTCCTAATATCTTCTAATTATGAATGAGGCATTTCTTCATGTAATCAAATTGCACCATTTTCATAATAAGTATAAAGAGCTCTTGCTAAAGTTATGAAAAACTATTGCAGAAAGTGAGTCGTATCAAACATGCAGTAGTTAGAAAATTAAAATGCGGGATGTTAGATAAAACATTATATTTTCCCTATACAAATGTGATGTTATAAAAGTGAATATGTCTGGTGATTACTTTTTTTCCAATAATTCATGCACGAATTAAGAAAAATTTAAAAAGTAAAATAAATGAAATTTTTGCATATATAAAACCATTTTTCTTAAGCGTTTTAATCCGTAATCCACCCTAAGAAATTCCAGATCAAATTTCGATAAAAAAGTACCGGCCCTCAATGTGGCAGTAATTTTTACCGTGAAATGTATTTTTACTGGAACATGAAACGGAAAAAAAATCTTATATACCGGATTTCTTACAATAAATTACAGCGAAATCACTTAAACTCCCTAATTAAAAAAACTGTAAAAATTATGGTATAATATTTTACGGTAAAAATGGATTTTGTGGATGATAAACCCAAAGTGCCGGTACTTTATAACGTAATTTGATCCAGACTTTTTTACACTGTAGTTGGCAAAATTTTAAAAATTATTTAAAAAACTTCATGCGTATATATTTATATGAATAGTAATAACTTAAGAAATGACTATCTCATTAGTAGGTAATTAAAAGTCGAAATTCGTTTTTTTTTTTTTAAAACGCATTATATTTATCTTTCTTTTTATTCTGAGTAACCGAAAAGTTAAATGAAAATTTATAAAATAGATTAAAGTAAAAATTTTGCCCATCGTGTATACTTCTTTTAGTACTATATGATGTCATAAATAACAGACGTGATAGTACAGTGCGCTTAAGAAAATACTGAACGCTTTAATAGTAATTAAAATTTCTCAAACTAAGATGCTAAGATTAAAGGTACGCTGATCTAACATTAAATATGCTAATTAATTTATGTAGATGATATTTTAAATTAAAAATTTATGCGCAAAAACGTACGTTTTCACCTTAAACATGCTTTTTTTGTCGATGGATATGAATTCTTAATCCTCAAAATATGGGGAGTAACCACAATATTGAATTACTATCACATACTTTGGAATGGAGAGAGGTCGCAAGTTAGATCCCTTGAATGTCTATTTCCATAAGTTTCACAATTGTGAATCTTGACAAGACTATTTTAATTCTCTTCAGTAGTTCAAGAGACATGACGAAATATGAAAAAAGTGAAATCGACAATACGTGAACAAAAATTTTCGACTGCTGTCCTGGCAACATTTGGGAGCCATATTTAACAAATTACAGCTAGCCTTATATTTTGGCAGTTAAATATTCGAATGCGTCGAAAAAAAGTTATGTTTATTTTTTAAAAAAAGTACGTTTCTGTTTGAATTCGTATCCTAAAATAGTGCCTGCACTTTTTAAATAGCTTATTTTAGACCAATCTCTCGATTGGTCTAAAATAGTCATTAAGATCATTAAGATTGCTAGTTAATGTGTGAAAATCCGATCAATTAATTGAAATTAATTGAGTTGTTCCATTTTTATTTTGCACACTTTATATTAATATCTCTCGGAATATATCTAGTAACTGGAATTATTCATTTAGATTTAAAAATAAAACAATTAAGTAATTCAAACTATCATATCTTTCTTCATCCAAAAAAAAAATATTATTATGTTTAGTTGAGAAAAAAATAATCATACTTTTTTCTGCTAAACATAATCTATTATTTCCTTATATAATCCACTATAAAAATTTTCCATTTTTTTTAGAGTGAAATATGTCTTAGCAAACAATACGGGAAGAAAAATTAATAAAAAAAAAGGGTTAGAGAAAATCGAGTGAAAGTTCTTTGCCCTGAGAATAATTAGGAAGTAAAATCTATTGAAATAGGAAGAAGAATCAAACTTCCGACAAAAACGTACATAATTTTCTCGAACAATTAAAATACTATCAATTGTCATTTACAGCGAAACGAAACAACTAGCATGCAAAACAGTCGGTACTTTGAGAAGAAATGTCGCAAAGTGGTTAAACCACTCTGCAATTCCCAAGCATGTCGTTAAAACTGACGTATAATTCGTTTTCATGTCTGAAGTAGAAATTATTGTTGGTGTATTCTTACAAATAACAGCTATGCATTTAAACACAAATAGGTTTTTATTTGGCAGGCTTTATTGTTCGCACGACTTAGGAAAAAAACTGGAATTATTTTTTTTTTTCCAGCTCAATATTTCTTTTCAACTATTCTTTTATTTACGCTTTCTCGTTTTTTAGATTGTTAATACTCTCCTGGCAACACTTTAAGAAAGGTGAAGTTTATTCTATAACAAATTTTAAAAGTCAATTTTTAGGGTTAAATAATTTTTTTTTAGTTCTAATTTGCTGTGAAATATTGATAGCAATAAAATTTCCTCGCCTCTTACGAAAAATAAAATAATTTCTTATAATTTCAATAATTTAATTTCTTATTTTATGGTGTATGTCTTTATGAATAGTAAGAAAAGAGATTAAATCAAAATAAAACTGACTTTTATAAAGCAATAAAAAGCATGTACGAAACATAACTCGCTTCACAAAAATGACCCTACGATTTGAAACAAAAATGTTTTATTTAAGAAACCAATTATTTAATCTAACAAAGATTTGGAAATAAGTTTTTATGTTCTTCAACAGATGGCGCTATTATCTAGAATATGGGAAAGATATGTTTAGTACATAACTGACCATTTCAATTGAAATATTTGAAAGGGTAACAGTTATATTTGTCCTTAAAATGCTCCTCGCTGTCGAAAAATAGTGGTATTTTGAAAACATCACTTTGAACTTTGTTTCTCTTATCAGCTCTATCTCTTGACGAACTTTACAGCTAGTTTTGAAATGTAATGAGAATAAATTTTTCTGCTTAATACAAACCACGTAACAAACTGTACTCTTTTATTCCTTTCCGTTGTTCTTTAATTGTTATTTTAAATCGTTGATCTTTTATCCAACCATTTTATCAACTATAATTAATTAATCTGGAAAAAGTAGAGACTTTTATTTCAAGCAGATTAAGTAAAAATTAATACCTAGTTGAGAAAATATCGAAAACGTCAACTGTCAGTTAACAGTTAATTTTTTATTCTTGGGTCAAAAAAACATTATGATTAAATTAATTAACATTAAGATTATATTAATTAATAAAGCATTAAGATTATATTAATTAATAAGACATTAAGATTATATTAATTAATAAAACATTAAGATTATATTAATTAGCAAAACATTAGGATTATATTAATGAAAAAAACATTAAGATTATATTAATTCTTAAGCAAATAGTTTATCAACATTTTGTAAAATGTACTTTTTACAAGCGGACCACAGAATGAAATTAAAACTGAAGAAAAATAATATGCTATTTAGTATCATCACCAAGAAAAATGAGAAATAAAATAAACTTTGTAATTATCACCTCCATTGTTTATCAAAGAGATTGAAGTTCCAAACTAATTAAATAGACTTAATATAAATAAAATACTCATTTACGTAAATTATAGTTCGAACCAAAATGAAATTCAGCTAGAAAATTTCTTTCAAAAAATAAGCCTTGTAAATTATTTTCAGATTTAAAATTTTTAGATAGTGCTTCATTTAAGAATTATAATACTTGTACTCATTGTCAACTAACTAATCAGAAGAAAGTGACAATTTCAAGGAGCTTGTTTTTAATACAAATGCTGCATGCTGTTTTTATGTTGTTTAAGACCCTGTAATTAAAACTTATAGTATTCAGATTTTACCGTTTTATGTCTCTAAATTCTAAATAAAATATGCACATTAATAAATAAATATTTATATAACAATAAACAATATTTATGTAACAATAACAAATAATCATAATAACGCACACAAGGAGAAACAAATTCTGGTAAAATTACAGTATTGTATTGTAATAACATTTGTTATA